AGTGCTGCTGTCAATCACCACGCTGTGTGGACACTGTCATACAGAATTACATTCACTTGTTGAAAGTTTGACCAACATGAGAATTTTCACCGGAAAATGTCTTCTGAACAAGTAAGTATCATCCACTTTTGTTCTGATCAACTAAGGGGGAAAAAGCATTCAACGTTATAAGCGTTAGATTTAATCAACGCGATTTACAGCAACCGTGCAAATTATAGCCTACATTGTTCTCAAATTGTTCATGTTAACAACATCAGCATTGCATGACAGCATGCGCAGTATAGTCGGCTAGCCGAAACTCCTTTATGTGTACGGGTCCCTAAAGAACAAGCTATAATTAATAAGTAGGCCTACTAGTACTTAATGGAACAGATACTTTGTAAAAATAAGTACTAAAAGCATGAAAATAGAGACTAGAAGGTTTAAATGATTAAAAGTTAAAACAGCTTGGGTTTTGGCCTACAAAAATTGTACCATCCCTTCAAGGGCACTTTAGCAGAAATGAAGCACACAGACTCTCTCTGACTCTGATGGACACAAGATTCATTTTGACAAGATCAATTTGACAATAATGGTTTGTGTGTATGGGGCCATTTGAAACAAAACACTTTGGTGCAATATTATGTTGAGAAAGTGATGAAATGTTTCACAAAAAATACATTTTAAGGAGAATGTCTTTTCTGCCTTTTTAACTTTAAAAAATGCTATTTGACAATAGTATTTAATTTAAATAGTTGAGTTTACTTGTTACATGTTAATATCATGCTAACATATGTATAGAGTTGTTTATCAGTGCTTTTATCTGTTCTCTGCAGGTGTTGGGCTTTGATGCTGTAAATAAACTGGAGAGTTTCCTGTCTCCTGTAAGTCAGTGAAGTATGTGTGTTTCTGCATCCCCTCAGTCTTGATGGGGAGGAGGAGTTCATCAGCACTGACAGTTTTATATTTATATATGGAGAAGATCATAAAAGCCTGGTCTGATTTGTCACTGAAGTTGTTTGATGATTTCCTCTGTTCTGTCTAATAAGGTAACAACGAGTGTGATTGGAGGGTTTTGGACCTCTTTCTCTCTAATATAGGGGGCTGAGAGGACGCCTGTACTTCTGTATCATCAGTGCGGAGAAGTTTGTATTGGATGTTGAATTAATCAAGCAGAGAGAGATGGAGAGATGCCTGACACTCGTTTTACTGTCTTCAAGTATAATATTCATCACAGGTGGTAAGTAGATTTTTTTTTTTTTTATTTTATTTTTTTTATTTTAGAAATGAATGGCTATTTTATTTAAGATCTTGAAATTAAACTGTACTGCAATGTATTTTTTAGATGCATGTGAAATCGCATTGTCTTTGAATGTGCTCTTGTGTTTAATAGGCAGTTTTTTTTCTGTCTCCCCAATTTATAAATAGCTATAAATAAGTTTTACATTAGAGTCTTCTTTTTTATGCAATATAATATACTGTTATCAAAATAATATTAATATTAATTTATTGAAACCCGAAGGCTTTTTTTGGTCTTGTATGATTGCAATTAAATGTTTCATGTGATATCAACATTGTAAAGTGAAGATTCACAATCTCATCATTTTAATGTTGTTTTTAGTTTTTTTATTGTTTTTATTAATAATAATAATCATTAGTATTATGCATGTGATTTATACTTTTCATATATATTCATAATCATTTATAATCTACATTTTTATGAATCAAACTTTTCTGAATTCTGTATGTGGAAGACTTTTAGAGTTTGGGAGACTTTGGGGGGAAGTTGAGTGTATTATGTTTCTTTCCGTGGAGCAGAATATACATTTCAATGATTGATTGAGAGCAGATGTTAGCAGCTATATGTACTGTGTAAGTTCTTTGTTTTGGACAGAGAGAGGGGAGAAAATACAGAGAAGCAGAAGGACGATCTTTGCTGGTCCACTCTCTCTCCCTTATGTCTTATATAAATTGGTAAAATAAATAACATATATTGGCAGAATGACTGGTGTCTTTTCATTAAATTAAATAACAAGGGGAAACGAAGATTTTAAATCTACAAAAGGTTGTCTCAATCTTCTGTTATTTAAAAAAATTTAAAAAATCACATTGATCACCTTTTCAAAACGACTTGAGTGGACGTAAAATTGAGTTCTGATTCGATACATGTTAGCTCAAGCAAGTCCACTGAACATTTTTATTAAAAAATAAATAATTCTTACAAGATCACAATGCTAGTCTCTTAAACAAATGCCAAGACCTCAGCTAGAAGAACTATAGGGGGAACAAATATATTAAAATAATACACCAGGCTTAATTTAGTTTAAGCTCAATCAACATAATTTGTGACATACTTTTACCTAAATAAAACATTTCTACTTGTCCCACCTTTAAAAAAGGGGTTTTCTGTCAACTTTAAAATACTGTTTATAGAAACAAGACGTGAAGACATATGTGTTAACATGATCATAGTGTGGAACAAATTGCTTACTAGCCTTTTCTGTGCAAAGTCATTTCCAGTTTTAAACTTTGTTTCCATGTCAACATAATGATAAAAAAAAAAAAAACATGTAATTGTTTTTAACTATTTACAGCTGAAACAATAATGCATTTTAGGATAATTAAAATGATACAATTTAAATTGTAAATTGTAAAAAAAAAAATTATCAAATTGATTTAAGTGCTTTTTATTAAAGTATAAGCTTCACATTGCTGTCTTTAAACCCTACATTTTTTTAATAAAAGGAGGGAGTCAGCATAATATTTTTTTTTGTTAATTAATATACGATATGGAGCTAAACTTGTATTGAACTCTGAATATTAATTTTAAATACTCAGACGTATGTGTCCCATTTTCCCAGTTCAGTTGTCCCAATTTTGTAATGTTATAAATTTCCTCATCCCTTCATCTTTCACCTCTGATTGTTGCTTAATATTTAGACGGTGTGAATGTGCGGTTGGTTGGTGGTCGCAGTCGCTGTGCTGGTAGAGTGGAGGTTCTTCATAGAGGTCAGTGGGGAACAGTGTGTGATGATTTCTGGGATATGACTGATGCTGCAGTGGTGTGTAGAGAGCTGGACTGTGGAGAACCTGTAGATGCTCTGGGTGATGCTCATTTTGGACCAGGATCAGGACCAATCTGGATGAGTTATGTCATGTGTACTGGATCAGAGTCAACACTGAAGAACTGTGGATCAGCTGGATGGGGTAAAACTGGATGTGATCATAGTAAAGATGCTGGAGTCATCTGCTCAGGTAAAGTATTTTACATATTCAAATTCACATGCACTTCCAGATTGGCTTCTAATTTTTAAAGTTTTAAAATGTTGTCTTCAATAAAACAATTGTTTTATATTTATATTTGTTGTGGTTTTCTTTTATGTTTTTACTTTATTTATTATAAGATATAAATGGCTTTGATGTACACATCATTATCTACCCCATAAATAAGCCATACTTTTGATCTGTGTTGTCTTCTTCAGAAGTCCGGCTGGTTGGAGGTTCTCGCTGCTCTGGGAGGTTAGAGATCCTTGATGATCAGTCGTGGGTGTCAGTGTGTGACGCTGCCTTTGACCAGCAGGATGCAGAGGTTGTGTGTAGAGAGCTGGACTGTGGGGCTCCTGTACAGGTGCTGGGAGAAGATGCTTTTGGAAAAGGAGACGCTCAGATGTGGACACAAGAGATTCAGTGCAGAGGAAATGAGTCTCAGATTCACTTCTGTTCAAAATCAATATCATATGAAAACAACTGTTCACATGAGCACAACATTGGTTTGCTGTGTACAGGTAACAGTTCAAAGTACAACAAAGAAAATTTGATTTAATTTTATAGTAAAAATTAATTAATTAGTTAATTAATTAAAAAATAATTTTATTTAGTAAAACAATTTAAATTTACAATAGCCTTTTCTCTTACATTCATAGACATAAGAAATGTGAGACTGGTAAACGGTAGCAGTCGCTGTGCTGGTAGAGTGGAGGTTCTTCATAGAGGTCAGTGGGGAACAGTGTGTGGTGATGGCTGGGATTTGGCTGATGCTGCAGTGGTGTGTAGAGAGCTGGACTGTGGAGAACCTGTAGATGCTCTGGGTGATGCTCATTTTGGACTGGGATCAAAACCGTTTAGGATGAAAAGTGCAATGTGTACTGGATCAGAGTCTACACTTAAGAAATGTGGATTCATACAACCAAGTGATCTTGATGTGTGTCTTAATAAGAGCGCTCAAGTCATCTGTTCAGGTAAGCTAAAGCTAAAAATTCAATTGCACCAAAAGAAGTCATAATTTCATTTTTTGTGACCATTTTCCAGCTTCTTTTTGACAACACAAACTGTTTACGTCAGACTGTAATAATCAGAGGTCTTGTTAAAATTTAGAAGCTTGTTTCTAACTCATCATTCTAATGTAATTCCCTGATAGGATTCATTCATAGACATTGTTGACATAAAAATGTTGAAATGTGGGCAGTCATGTAATGCATTTGAATTTTTACAGTTACAATAATTATACACTGTTTAGTATATGAGCTGTTTTTGTAGGTTACTTGAAAGTTTCAAGTCCTTTTGGGTAAAAGTTTTGCTGACATGTATTTTCATAAATATATTTTATTTCAGAAGATAAAGGAAGATATGATTTCTCGTTGATTGATGTATTGATTATATCACTAAGTCGTTATTGAAGTTCTCTAACTTTAATTTTTTTCCTGTGTTGTTCTTTAGAAGTTCGGCTGGTTGGAGGTTCTCGCTGCTCTGGGAGGTTAGAGATCCTTGATGATCAGTCGTGGGTGTCAGTGTGTGACGCTGCCTTTGACCAGCAGGATGCAGAGGTTGTGTGTAGAGAGCTGGACTGTGGGGCTCCTGTACAGGTGCTGGGAGAAGATGCTTTTGGAAAAGGAGACGCTCAGATGTGGACACAAGAGATTCAGTGCAGAGGAAATGAGTCTCAGATTCACTTCTGTTCAAAATCACCATCACACAAACACAACTGTTCTTATGACAATGATGTTGGACTGGTGTGTGCAGGTTTGGCTTTTTTTAAATAAACTGAAATCAAATGTATTACCAGTACATTTTATCATAGTTGTTTCTCTTATTGTGATACTTTTCTTCCTCATTCTTTTTCTGTGTCCATATGTCTTTATTTATTTTGTAGACACTTTGAGAGTGAGGTTGGTTGGTGGTCGCAGTCGCTGTGCTGGTAGAGTGGAGGTTCTTCATAGAGGTCAGTGGGGAACAGTGTGTGATGGTGGCTGGGATATGCCTGATGCTGCAGTGGTGTGTAGAGAGCTGGACTGTGGAGAACCCGTAGATGCTCTGGGTGATGCTCATTTTGGACCAGGATCAGGACCAATCTGGACAAATCGCACGTTATGTTTGGGATCAGAATCTACACTGAAGAACTGTGGAACAGTAAATTGGGGTTTTTATGACTGTGATCATACTAAAGATGCAGGAGTAATCTGCTCAGGTAAACTACTCCAAACCCTGCACTGTTTTTACACCACTGATAATTAAACTGCCTTAAAGGGAAAGTTCAACCAAAACTGAAAACTCAGTCATCATTTACTTTGTGTCTTTTCAAACCTCTGTGACTTTGTTCTGTAGCACACTAAATGTTTGTTTGTTTTTCCGATTTTAATTTCATTTTATTGAAAAGAGTACCAGGATATTCTGTAAAATTCCCCTTTTATGTTCCATAAAAAAGAAAGTCAGATGATATGGATTGACATAAGAGATTGAGTAATTTTACTATTTTACTCCTTTCACGTTAATAAGTGGTGCTTTGTGGTAGAACAATAATGACAAGAATTACATTTCTTATCTCTTATTACTTCAGGTGTCCGGCTTATTGGAAACTCCAGTTGCTCTGGGAGGTTAGAGATACTTGACGATCAGTCGTGGGTGTCAGTGTGTGCCGCTGCCTTTGACCAGCAGGATGCAGAGGTTGTGTGTAGAGAGCTGGACTGTGGGGCTCCTGTACAGGTGCTGGGAGAAGATACTTTTGGAAAAGGAGACGCTCAGATGTGGACACAAGAGATTCAGTGCAGAGGAAATGAGTCTCAGATTCACTTCTGTCCAACATCCTTACACAAAAACAGCTGTTCACGTGATAATTACCAGGGGCTTTTCTGTGCTGGTGAGTTAAAATAATATAGTATCATACCTTTTAACTAATAGGATGCATCTCAGTCAGTTTCATATTTCACAGTCAGAACACTGACCAAGGAGCAAGGCATTTTAAGGTTTGTCTCAATCTAAAAAGCCTTCAGGTTCACTGGAATATTTACTCCCTAAAAATCCCACACTCCAAAAACCAGATGCTCACTACAATCCCCTGTAGTGAAAAGGGGAAATTTTGTTATGTGCAAAACAAATCGGACAAACCAACACAATATCATCATGAAATGCATTTTGAAAAAGCATTTTGAAAAGACAAATCGTCATTTCATTTAATGTCAGTATAAACATAGTGTAGTTAATATTTGTGGCGAGCAGGACGAGGTCAAGGGACGTGGGAGAACGTTGCGAGGCCGGAGGCGTGAGTGTTAATGAACGTCACCTGTGAGATGCACCGGTCTTGCATCTCGGAGGAGTGGAAGCATAAAAGGAGGAGTGCTTTATCTCTAAATCAAAGTATATTTCATGACATACTTTAGACTTTACACAGCATAAAAAATGTCAGAAAAATGTTCTGTTTGTTGTTGATAAATAGCCTACCAGTGGTACGTTTTATGTCACAAGCACCTAGTCATGTCATGGGGAATTTTAAATCAGTGTCCAAATGTGTAGTGAGCCAGTGTGCTTTACCAGTGCCGAATTTGTGTACACAATATACTGATGTGTGCTTGTGTGCTTACAGAGATGCATCTATACTCTCTATCTGTATTTTTCTGTCATTTAGATAAAAAGAATGTGCGGTTGGTTGGTGGGAACAGTCGCTGTGCTGGTAGAGTGGAGGTTCTTCATAGAGGTCAGTGGGGAACAGTGTGTGATGGTGGCTGGGATATGACTGATGCTGCAGTGGTGTGTAGAGAGCTGGACTGTGGAGAACCTGTAGATGCTCTGGGTAATGCTCATTTTGGACCAGGATCAGGACCAATCTGGATGGATGTTGTATTATGCACTGGATCAGAGTCAACACTGAAGAACTGTGGGTCATCTGGATGGAACATACATGCCTGTACTCACAGTTATGAAGCCGGTGTCATCTGTTCGAGTAAATAATTTAACTGATTGCCCATTCATTTGTTTTTACATGAAGAATATTTTGTTTGGAAAACTGTTTGTATGTGTATTGTATTTAACTATCAAGCATTTGTTTTGTCTACTGTGCACTGTCATTCTTGTAATATTAACAGGTCATCAACCTTCCAGACTCGTTAATGGATCTCACCTCTGCTCTGGGAGGTTAGAGATACTTGATGATCAGTCGTGGGTGTCAGTGTGTGACGCTGCCTTTGACCAGCAGGATGCAGAGGTTGTGTGTAGAGAGCTGGACTGTGGGGCTCCTGTACAGGTGCTGGGAGAAGATGCTTTTGGAAAAGGAGACGCTCAGATGTGGACACAAGAGATTCAGTGCAGAGGAAATGAGTCTCAGATCTCATTTTGCTCAATTTCATTATCACACAAACAAAGCTGTACCAGTGACTCTAATGTGGGTCTGATCTGTTCTGGTAAAATATAATATTTAGTGTCTAATTTTTTGTATTTAAAACATGTTATCTGTCAGCTGCTTTATACTTTATTTTAACCTTTATTTTAATGTTCTTTATTCAGGTTACACAGAGGCTAAACTGATGAACGGTTCAGACTCTTGTTCTGGAAGAGTGGAGCTTCGGTTCCTCAGTAAATGGGGCACAGTGTGTGATGCATGCTGGGATATGAGAGCTGCCAGTGTCCTCTGTAGACAGCTGAATTGTGGGATTGCTGTGTCTGTTGTGGGATCAGACTGGTTTGGAGAGGGAAGTGGTGAAATCTGGGCTGATGTGTTTGATTGTGACGGGAATGAAACAAAACTCTCAGAATGTCCCGTCTCTTCATGGAGTCGAGCTGAATGTTCTCATGGACGAGATGTTGGAGTCATTTGCTCTGGTGAGGGAATTTTGTTGAAAAAAAAATTAAATTACCTACATTTGTAATTGAAATTATTTAACCCCCATTGCAAATCAGGTTTATTGGCAGAATTTATTAACTTTCAGATGTTTGCAATGAACAAATCAAACAAAAGTAATTGAAACAGCTCAACACAACAAATGTTTTAGTTTCCCCAAATTTAACTGAAATTGCACATTTGTATGACTTCTGCAGTTTCAAAATGATTCAACCCCTCAATGAGATCCCTTTTCTATAAACATTTTTTTGTGTGTTGAGTTATCTCAATAACTATTGTTTGATTTGTTCATTACAAACAACTGAAAGTGTGTATATTTTGTCAATAAACCTGATTTACAATGCAAAGCGACCGTATAAATCTTGCAATATCTTGATAAAATGCCACATATTTCCCTCAGATTCCTCTCTGTCTGTTCATGACGGTCTGGTGCAGTTGTCTGGAGAGAGACAGTGTGAGGGGGAGCTGGAAGTTTCCATCCATCAGGTCTGGAGGAGAGTTCTGCTGGACTCCTGGAGTCTCACTGAATCCTCTGTGGTCTGCAGACAGCTGGGCTGTGGCTCTGTGCTGAACTTCTCCGGCTCCTCTTCATCCAGTCCTGAACACAGTCATGAGTGTGTGACGGGCTTCCAGTGCTCTGGGAGTGAAGCTCATCTGGGGAACTGCAGCTCTCCACAAACTCTCAACTGCAGCTCCACACAACAGCTGTCAATCTCCTGCCTTGGTGAGCACAACAACATCTGGGCAGATTCTTCAGTTGTTGGTGATCAATAATGTGTTTTTCTCTCTCTGAATATCAGGCCGCGGGTCCATCAGGCTGGTGGGTTCTGGGGGAGACTGTGCAGGGAGGCTGGAGGTTTTTCACAGCGGCTCATGGGGGACAGTGTGTGATGACTCCTGGGATATTAAAGATGCCCATGTGGTGTGCAGACAGCTGCAGTGTGGAGTGGCCCTCAGTAACCAGCAGGTACCAGCCTGGTTTGGTCCTGGTTCTGGACACATATGGCTGGATGAGGTGGAGTGTGAGGGGAATGAGACGTCCCTGTGGAACTGCTCTTCTCCAGGCTGGGGGAAACATGACTGTCAACACAAGGAGGATGTAGGAGTCGTGTGCTCAGGTACTCAAGTGGAAATGTTTGAGATATATATATATATATATATATACAGTATATAGCTCAGCCAGAATTGAGCTTGTCTTTTTCCATCTAGAGTTTAAAGAGATCAGGTTAACTGAGGGCTGTGAAGGGAATGTGGAGGTTTTCTACAATGGATCCTGGGGTAATGTGTGCTGGAACCAGATGGACAGAGACACAGCGAGTCTGATCTGTCAAGAGCTGAACTGTGGAAGATCTGGTACTTTTTCCAATTCTATAACAAGGGTGGATTCAGCTCGTAACTGGCTGGATAAAGTAAAATGTCGACCACATGATTCAAATCTGTGGCAGTGTCCATCTTTACCCTTGGGACAGAATGACTGTGGTGAAAATGAAGTGGCCAAAATCACCTGCACAGGTAAGGTATAATATATAATATATTCTCCACCTTTTTTTCCTGAGCAACTAATGAGAGCTGTCATGACAGAGTCAAACTTCCGTTGTCCTATTTGTGGTCTCCATAGTAACCCATGTTATTACTAGATAAACACAGCAACTGAATTCATTAAAAAGAAACTTTTTGAACACTACTAAGATTTAAAAAAACAAAAAAACTCAGGGTCAAGCCAGTAAAATTAAGAAATTAAACTGTTTTGATCACTACCTCACAAACATGTATTAATTGCATACTGTGGCAAATACTGATGAGAGAAAAGGACCATGGCTTGCAGCTCTTGCAGAAGTTAAAATACATTTTTACAAAGGTCCCTTTAGGGACTCCGTAGAGTGCTGATAAATTTTTTTGGACAAAACTCTAATCAGTGTAGACTAACTCGGACCACTTCATGTCATCTACTCACATTGAACTCTTGACAGCTGCGGCACTGCCAAAAGACAGTCATTGCGACACTGTATATTGTCAGCAACTCAGCATTATGGAGACATATCTTTTTTTTTTACTTTTTTTGGTAACACTTTAAAGTTTAATTACTTAACATTAGCACGTGTATTATTAATAATAATATTAATTAACAAAAAATAATAATGTTTATAACGCTCTAACTTCTGAATCCAGAACATAAAAGTCTTGAGTCCCCTCGAAGCTATTTGACAAGTTCTACATCTTCCTACAAGAGACAGCGTTCAGGTAATTAATTTGATGGCGAAGAATATCATAACAGTTATGTGACTGGAATTAATCTCACGAAACACAAATATTTCCCCTGTAGGCACTGCTGTTCTGATAGTACTCTTCTGGATATTATTGTGTTGTCTTCTGTGTGTAATTTAGAACACCTGATCAGTGATGTTGCTGTGTGTGTTTTAGAGCATGTTCCTCTCAGACTGAGTGGAGGTTTGGGCCGGTGCTCTGGGAGGCTGGAGGTGTATCATAACGCTGTGTGGGGTTCAGTCTGTGCTGATCTGTGGGACATCAGCGATGCTCAGGTGGTCTGCAGGCAGCTGGGTTGTGGAGACGCACTGAGGGCTGATGGGAATTCAGTCTTTGGTGCTGGTGAAGGTGTTGTGTGGATGAACAGAGTCGAGTGCAGAGGGAATGAGATTCACCTGTGGGACTGTCCTCACTCCCTGGAGAACCACACTGACTGTTCCCACAAAGATCACGCTGGACTCACATGTGCAGGTCACAGCAACACACTGAACAATAGTAGTCATTTTAATGCTAATAATCTTTGTCTCTTTGCATGATTTTAAATGTGTGTGTGTGTGTTTTGTTAGATTTGTCAGTGTCCACTACTCCTGCCACAACAACATCATCTTCTCGTCCAGTTTCTCAGACAGTGCGCTCAACATCAGTCACTCCTCCACAAACTCCTCCAGCAGCGTCTCTCTCTGTGCTTGAGGTTGTACTGGGAGTTTTGCTCGTACTGCTCTTAGTGCCACTGCTTATACTGGTTCAGCAGAACAGAGTGATGAGGAGAGGTAGGAGAGATCCAGAGACTGTCATAGTGTGTCTTATTCAGTGTGTGATCAGTCATGTGTTGTGAACTGACAGCAGGTTTGTCTGTCTACACACACAGATCTCTCTAAGAGGAGACACAGGACGACGACTGAGGCCGTTTATGAGGAGCTTCGTCACAGACCCTCTAATAGACAGAGTTTCGTCACTCAGAGGGGTCAGTAAATGTCATAGAGTCTGATTTGTGGAGATCATAAACACTTAATTCATAGGTGACTGAGAGTAGAATAAATCAGATCCAGTTGTGGGACTTTATTGTGTATCTGAAATGATACAGGTTTAGTGTTGAGATTCAAAGGAATGGGGATTTTGGTTGATTTACAACTGTGAATGTGTGTCTGATGAATCTACTTCTCCATAATAGGAAGTGTTCTTTCAGAAGAACAGCATTCTGGGTATGAAGATGCTGATGAGCTTCTTTCAGGTTAGAGGACTCAAATATAAATCAACATAACTCAAATATGCTACACAAAGAATTGAATGGATTAAATTAATTAAAAACATTTAAATAATACGATTTTAAATAATATAAACCATCCAACATGTAACAGTTCAAATGTATTTATTAGTATCAAATTTATTTATTATTTATTATAATAATTAACATTTATTTATTTAAGATTTATTGAATCTCTTTTTTCTTTTTCGTTTTTTTTTTTTTTTATCTGCAGTAGGAGCCGCACCTCACTACCATAATGACATCACCACTGAAGGACCAAATGAAGGTCAGTGACTTTAACTGATTTCTCAACATTAAATTAACTATTGGGCCTATGAATAGTAAAAGGAGTTGTCGTTGTTATCTCATTTAGAAAAGCAGCAAATCACACCTGAGAATTATGATGACATAATCACTGTTGGACTGAGATCTCGTGATACAGGTTTATTTCTTATAATCATTTTTACAGGTTTTAACAATATAGATTTATATAAATTTTAATTATACATATGCACTGTTTCAAAATCCCAAATCTTGCACATTTAATGGCTGCATTTATTTATTTTTTGTTTATTTGTCTCTTTTGACTTGCCAGAAAACTATGATGATGTCATAATTGTACGACAATTCTCCAATGATAAAGCAGGTGTGGGATTCAAATTACTCTCTCAAATTACCTTTTTTTTTCTTTGTTTGTTTGTTTGTCTTCAGATTATAGTGGCATATAAACTCACGTAATTAATAATAGAAACATTTAAATTAAAAGGTGTTCAGGAGGAGTATGATGATGTCAAGAATGTCAGGGAATGTATGAGTGACATGTTTGGTACGTTACTGACACGTTTTTACCTTACTCTGAATTTGTTTAATTTTTATAATCGCTTTATAATATCGATTTCTGTGATCATGATAGCTCATTTAACTTGACTGCCAATGTTGATGTGTTTATTTATAATACTTTTTAAAGCATATATTGATAAATTAATTTGCTCTTGTTTTCTAATAACAGACTATGATGATGTGGGGGAGGAGCCAGGAAAACAGGGAGGGACTTTATAACTGAAACCACACCCACTGTGTAAGACTGGAAAACTGGAAACTGGTTGAAGAGATAGACCACTGGTCTATGAGACGAAGGACCTTGGCAAATTAACACTTCAACACTCACACACACTTCTTCCCCACATCCCCCATCTTGCAGAGATCACCCAAACTCACATAATAATCTATATGGTTTTAATTTGAACAACTATCATACAGTTTTATGTGTTTAGTATTATTTGAAATGTCTACAAGTGACTGATGTATAAGTGTCCTAACTATTTCCAAATAAGTAAAACAAAAGGTAACAAGATTTTTAAGAGTTTTCAGATAACATACACTCAAAGGAGGGTGGATGGGTAAACCCTCCTGCTCTCAGGTGTGTACTCAATTCTAATTTCCACTGTTAGCAAATTGTACCATGTATACTGATGCATACCCACTGATGGTGAACATATTTATTGTGCTAAAGAATGTTGGAATTAGGAAATAAGTTGACAAACAGTAGCTGTGATCAAGGATCTTTCCCTCAAAAGAATGTAATGACTCTTTGAACTGAGCAGAAGAGCGTGTTGTTCACTTTATGTCCTGCAGAGGGTTTTTTCTTTACATACAGGGCATGACTACAGCATGCATTTTATGTACTTGTTTAATATTTCTGTCAAATTGTATTCTTGTTTTGAATTTGTATTCTTGTTTTGAAATGTTGTGCCATTTTGTTTCAATAAACTGTTTTCTGCACACGAAATCCAAAAGTTCAATGCAATTCTAAGAAACATTATAAACTTTTTTTTGGATTTGACCTTTGATATGTCTCTCTGTCTTCTCAGTGTTTGTCGTCAGCAGTTAGTTATCAGTGCTTGTATCTCTTCTCTGCAGGTGTCAGACTTTGGCGCAGTGTGTACACTGAAGTGTTTCCCACGTTCACTCTCATGACAGCTGGGTGACTTTGTCAGCACTTTATCATGTGTGTGTCTCCTCAGTAAAGTGTCTGAAAGGTGGAAGAGTACCGTTCATCAGCAGAGGCGTTCTTTTGACATATATGGAGATATATTTGCTGTTTTGTCGTTGTATCTGTTCTCTTGAAGTTTAACTCTGAATGTGATTGGTGGTCATGAGAAACCCCTCCTCTCTCTACCTTTATCTTTCTCACCAGAGCAGACAACAGTCTCTTTTTCTTCAGATTTGCTGAGAGAGCTGATGAAAAGTTTGTCCTGCAGAAGAAGATGAAGAGCTGTCTTACAGTCTTTCTGATGTCCACCGTCATTACACTCACCAGTGCAGGTATTTTACACTCAGTTAAAGGGTTAGTCAGTTCCTTTCAACATATTATTAAATAAAAGTATATTCATAGTTAACACAAGGATATTCCTGTGTAGCATTACAAGTTTTAAAATCGTAGTTCTACACAGTAGTCAACATTTGAAGTGGATCAAAAAAAGTTAATCAAAGTTGTCCTAAGACACAAACGGGTATTGTTCAAAATTCATGTATAACTTTGATGAAAGGTTTTGATCCACTTCAAATGTTACTGTAGATGATTGTTTTATATTTTCGTACTGATATTCATTTATTCAATTAATTTTTTTTTTTTTCAAATGCTTCTGGAAGCAAAAGTTTAAATTTTCACTGATTCTTTTTCTTTCTTTCTTTCCTTTTTTTTTGTAATTGCATTAAATGGTTTTGTGGTTCGATGTGTTATAATATTATACATTCAGTTTTTATGACTTCATTATAATTGAGTGAAATGCATAAGTGATTTTTCACACCACAAAACCATTGAAGTGAACTGCAAAAAAGTAACATAATATCTGTAAATGAATGGACTTTCATAGATAAACAATCTCTTGTGTACAGGTAATGTGAGGCTGGTTGGTGGTCACGGTCCCTGTGCTGGTACAGTGGAGGTTCTTCATAGAGGTCAGTGGGGAACAGTGTGTGATGATGGCTGGGATATAAAAGCTGCTGGTGTGGTGTGTAGAGAGCTGGGCTGTGGTAAAGCATTGCGTGCAGTTAGTCTTGCTCACTTTGGACAAGGATCAGGTCCAATATGGATGGATGAAGTTAAGTGTGCTGAAACAGAGTCAACATTGAAGAACTGTAAAACAAAACGATGGGGTGAAAATAACTGTGGTCACGATGAAGATGCTGGAGTCATTTGCTTAGGTAAGAATCTTCCTAAATGTCTTGTTGGCAAATTAAACTGAACAGAATTGATGTTCTTCTCTTAATAATGAAATGTAGTTTTAATGCTGTTTATTTATATAATCTAAACACAGGTCGCCTTCCCAGACTCACTAATGGATCTCATCTGTGTGCTGGACGATTAGAGATACTTAAAGTAAAGACGTGGGTGTCAGTGTGTGACGCTGCCTTTGACCAGCAGGATGCAGAGGTTGTGTGTAGAGAGCTGGACTGTGGGGCTCCTGTACAGGTGCTGGGAGAAGATGCTTTTGGAAAAGGAGACGCTCAGATGTGGACACAAGAGATTCAGTGCAGAGGAAATGAGTCTCAATTTGTGTTCTGTCCTACGTCCACATCATTAAATACACACTGTCCTCATAACACTTCTGTAGGAGTAATATGCTCTGGTTAAGTCATATTTGACCTCTCTTTACTTATATTGCACACATAAAGAGATTAATGAAGTGTCCTAAAACTTTTTTTTTTTTTTTCAATAACCTTTGTGCAGGTTACACAGATCTCAGACTGGTAAACGGCCCAGACTCTTGTTCTGGAAGAGTGGAGCTTCGGTTCCTCAGTAAATGGGGCTCAGTGTGTGATGCATGCTGGGATATGAGAGCTGCCAGTGTCCTCTGTAGACAGCTGAATTGTGGGATTGCTGTGTCTGTTGTGGGATCAGACTGGTTTGGAGAGGGAAGTGGTGAAATCTGGGCTGATGTGTTTGATTGTGACGGGAATGAAACAAAACTCTCAGAATGTTCCGTCTCTTCATGGAGTCGAGCTGAATGTTCTCATGGACGAGATGTTGGAGTCATTTGCTCTGGTAAACTTATTTGACACAGAGAGCATTATGCTCTTTTAATGTTATAACAAAATTCCTATTTTAGTAAAAGATGAGATCATCTCTCTAGATTCCTCTCTGTCTGTTCATGACGGTCTGGTGCGGTTGTCTGGAGAGAGACAGTGTGAGGGGGAGCTGGAAGTTTCCATCCATCAGGTCTGGAGGAGAGTTCTGCTGGACTCCTGGAGTCTCACTGAATCCTCTGTGGTCTGCAGACAGCTGGGCTGTGGCTCTGTGCTGAACTTCTCCGGCTCCTCTTCATCCAGTCCTGAACACAGTCATGAGTGTGTGACGGGCTTCCAGTGCTCTGGGAGTGAATCTCATCTGGGGAACTGCAGCTCTCCACAAACTCTCAACTGCAGCTCCACACAACAGCTGTCAATCTCCTGCCTTGGTGAGCACAACAACATCTGGGCAGATTCTTCAGTTGTTGGTGATCAATAATGTGTTTTTCTCTCTCTGAATATCAGGCCGCGGGTCCATCAGGCTGGTGGGTTCTGGGGGAGACTGTGCAGGGAGGCTGGAGGTTTTTCACAGCGGCTCATGGGGGACAGTGTGTGATGACTCCTGGGATATTAAAGATGCCCATGTGGTGTGCAGACAGCTGCAGTGTGGAGTGGCCCTCAGTAACCAGCAGGTACCAGCCTGGTTTGGTCCTGGTTCTGGACACATATGGCTGGATGAGGTGGAGTGTGAGGGGAATGAGACGTCCCTGTGGAACTGCTCTTCTCCAGGCTGGGGGAAACATGACTGTCAACACAAGGAGGATGTAGGAGTCGTGTGCTCAGGTGAAGTTAAACACATTTTAAGAAATTATTGCAAATAATTGACCAGCAGCTGCTGCTTTCAATATATAACAATAAAGTAATATTAATGTAGTATTTGGAATCAAATAGTATTTTGTTGATTTACAAAAATAAAAATAAATGAATTGAATTTAACATTTTCCATCTAGAGTTTAAAGAGATCAGGTTAACTGAGGGCTGTGAAGGGAATGTGGAGGTTTTCTACAATGGATCCTGGGGTAATGTGTGCTGGAACCAGATGGACAGAGACACAGCGAGTCTGATCTGTCAAGAGCTGAACTGTGGAAGATCTGGTAGTGAACCCAGTAATTCTGTGGGTCTGAGATCTGCTCCTAATTGGTTAGATCATTTTAAATGTCGAAAACATGACAAAACATTGTGGCAGTGTCCATCTTCACCCTGGGGACAGAACAACTGTTATGATAATGAGGTGGCCAATATCACTTGCTTTGGTAAGACTTAATGTAACACTATGTACTAATTTCTTGATTTTAGAGTAATTTTTACAGCAAACTATAATCATAAGTTGTCAAACTTTTAGCTTAGAGTTTAGTGTTCACCTAAAACATATAATTGTTAAATTTCACTTTGTAATCTCAGAGAAACAGAGTCTTGAGTCACCACACAGTTGTCTGACATGTTCAGCATCTCCTCACCAGAGACAGTGTTCAAGTGAGTTAATGTGAGCAATCATGTATGCTTGCCTTGCTGGTAATAGATTACTGAGTCCCCACATGTATATATTTTAGAGCATGTTCCTCTCAGACTGAGTGGAGGTTTGGGCCGGTGCTCTGGGAGGCTGGAGGTGTATCATAACGCTGTGTGGGGTTCAGTCTGTGCTGATCTGTGGGACATCAGCGATGCTCAGGTGGTCTGCAGGCAGCTGGGTTGTGGAGACGCACTGAGGGCTGATGGGAATTCAGTGTTTGGTGCTGGTGAAGGTGTTGTGTGGATGAACAGAGTCGAGTGCAGAGGGAATGAGATTCACCTGTGGGACTGTCCTCACTCCCTGAAGAACCACACTGACTGTTCCCACAAAGATCACGCTGGACTCACATGTGCAGGTCACAGCAACACACTGTACAATAGTAGTCATTTTATACTAATAATCTTTGTGTATTTGCATGATTTTGAATGTGTTTGTGTGTGTTTTGGCAGATTTGTCAGTGTCCACTACTCCTGCCACAACAACATCATCTTCTCGTCCAGTTTCTCAGACAGTGCGCTCAACATCAGTCACTCCTCCACAAACTCCTCCAGCAGCGTCTCTCTCTGTGCTTGTGGTTGTACTGGGAGTTTTGCTTGTACTGCTCTTAGTGCCACTGCTTATACTGGTTCAGCAGAACAGAGTGATGAGGAGAGGTAGGAGAGATCCAGAGACTGTCATAGTGTGTCTTATTCAGTGTGTGATCAGTCATGTGTTGTGAACTGACAGCAGGTTTGTCTGTCCACACACACAGCTCTCTCTAAGAGGAGACACAGGACGACGACTGAGGCCGTTTATGAGGAGATTCATCACAGGCCTGTTAACATCACAATCTCATCAGGTGAAATGATCACCATTATTAATGATAACAATGACAAAACTATTTACATATGAACTGTCAAAGCATGAAAGTATTTGTGAATTTTATTATATTTGTACCATTCTGACGTTTAATGATTCTACAGGTCTTTTTGACGGTTAAAGTAAAAAAATGTTAATCCTGTTGGGCTTCCTGCTGTTAACCACTGAATTCAGCAGTGAAAACCACAGCGCTGTGTTTGTACTGCAGTCAGTGAGAGCGCACACAGGTGTTAGTGTGACGAGAGACATCCATGTCAGCCTTTCTGAATGCTGTTTATCATTTAACAACTTTTTGGTTGTTATAATGGTTCTAGACTTTAAGGAAAATGTTAAAAAACAATGTAGAAAAACGGAAAAGGGGCTGGTAATTTTCTGAATTTTCGGTTATTTGTACTGAAAATTCATTCTGAGTTTTCTTAGTGTATGCTTTATTGATGTTTTATTTTTAATTGATGCAGACAACATGGATAAAGAGGCTACAGAGGACTATGATGCCATCATCGATTTACTCAATTGTGAGAATTTCCCATAAAAAATATTACTTCTAAATAAATATGAAGTCAGAGAGCAGATGTCACTTAGTGCTTGTTTAGAGCGGTGCTTGTGATGTTATCTCTGTATTTCGACACAGATCGCATGGATGAGACTTATGATGATGTCACAACCTTGAGAGAAGGTGATTTTTACTGTTTAGTTTTTCACTATTTGTTTTGGCATGACAAATATTTAAATCTGCTGTAAATTTAAAAAGGAAATGCTGGAGAATTATGATGATTTCATGTCTTGTGAACATAATGTTGGAGCTGTAAGGGAAAAGTCGGTTTCAATCAGAAGCGTCTCATTATGTTCACCTCAGACAACCAATTTCATCTAAAAAAAACATAATAATTTGTTCACCATCTTACTTATTGTCATCTGATTTCAGCTTAGTTACCGGCTGGTGCATGTCTAGACTGTAAATTGTGAGGATATTGCAAAATTTATTTTCTCTTTTTTTCATCTTTTTTTATTTAACAGAGAATGTTGATGAGGAGCCAAATGAACAGAAAGAGAGTGTGTGAACTGCCTACAATTACATATGGTTTCTTCTTATAATCATTTTATCATTATTATTTGCTTCCTGGTTCTTTTTATATCAGGTAATACTCTTCTCAGAGGAAAGAAAGGCCCAAGCCAAAAACTGCTAAATGCAAATAACTGGTCAGGAAATAAGCAAGAATTTTACAAATAATGTAGATAAAGAAACTTTGCATCCAACTTGCAGACATTTTTTTTACTGGGAGTGAGAGATTCAGTGCAATGTAAATGCAATGTCAAACAGTTCATGAGTAGTTGAAAAATGTTTCATCGGCTTGTTCTCAAGCCACTTCTTGGTTGTCTTTGCTATATGGGCAGGGCCATTGTCTTGTTAAAAAAATTATATCTGATGATTCCTCTTTAGATAACAACAACTCTTCATTTGTGGGAAGCAAGCCATTCTGAAATATTCTCATGTAGGCTACTTCAAAGCATTAAATTACTTTTTAAAGTGAAGCAGATAACCAATACCAAAAGCTAAAAAGTCTCCCCACACAATGATATCCGTGCATCACTGTGGTAGAGATGCATTTATTATTATATTTCTCAGCAGATTTCGAAGACCAACATCACCACTTCACTCAAGTTCCCATGTTCTGACAACTTTATTCTGTATTTGATGTTTTTCTGAGACAGTAATGGCTCTTCAAGTAATGCTTTTGCTTAAAATTTTGCTAATTTCCTGACCAATGATTTGTGGTTAAGACAATTAAAAGCTTAGTGTTTAGCCATTTTGGGATTAGGCCACTTTTACCCCCAGGAATGTATAATCAACATGTTTTATATTAATCTTTTTATATATTGGCTAAACCATTTTATACTGTATAACTGGAATAATGCAGAAGACTCATTGTCTCGATTTCATGTCTCGAAAGTTTATGAAATAGCTTTATTATTATTATTATTATTAATTCTGTCGTATTTTAAGTAGGCCTGTTACCTTCCATTGGAGAGAGTTCCGCTTTACATTGAGCTGAATTGCAGCGGTCGCTGTCCGTGGTCCTGAAGTAGAGGTGTCTCCGTGCTATAGTCAACATTGTAGTGCGACTAATTAATGCAGTTGTCGTGGAAATAAGTGACCAATTAGACGAATCTAAAATTAAAATAAAATAAAAAAAAGTACCAGAGAATAAGCTTGATGTAGTATGAATAGCCATGTCATATTCAATACCCTACATTCCAACTGCCATCATTAAAATCGACTGTTTTATTTAATTACAATATTTTGTTGTGCCCCAACTAAAAAAAAAAAAAAAAAAAAAAAAAAATCAATTCTATCCATAAAGTTAGTCATACCATAGGCTATTGCTTAAACCATAAAATATAGGCTATATGATTGCATGATACTTTCCCCCCCCCCAACAGCAGCAAAAGATGAAATGTAAGTGTATCGAGTATCAGATAGGAAATTGATACCTATCTTGATCATGTTCTGTCATTTGTAAATAATTTCAGTGAAGTAAATAGTAAAGTTGGATATTACAGTATACAAATGTTTGTTGAGGTCATTTCATAATTTGAAATTCCCCTCAAAGCTCAAATAAAGATAGCCTATTCTTTTACTGCCATCTTCTGGAATACAACGGAATGCAGTGATTGATTGTATAATGTGTTCCTTCAATTGTAATTTAAAATTAAATGTTAATTGATTAAATAATTTTTTGTGTGTCCATGATTGAGTTTTCATTTTACATCCATTTTCCATTATGTATAATGAATGATGATAATATTTCCCCGCAAGATTCACAATTTAAAACCCTAAACTGAATTAGCAATAGCATAGCAATACAGATGCGGCAAACTTTTAATAGAATGTATTCGAACCAACAAAATAAATAGTTAATTAATGACGAGTATAGATTTGATCAAAATGACTGCGGCCCCTTTAATTACTGATACGCATTTGATTGGTCGAGTTAAGTTTGCAGACGAGGTCGACGAAATTTGTTTGTTTAGCTGTTTAGCAAAATAAAAACATTCGCACGATTTATAACATCATGCAGGCTCATTACAAGAAAATGTAAGTTATATCCTGTCTAAAAACAAAACATTTTTAAGAGTTGACAAGGCAAATGACCGTAGCTAACTTACTCATCAAGCAACTTTTACAGTTTTGACAGTTTCATTAAGCTAAAGTTAAAATAAGTTAAATTTGTGTGTTAGTGCTCTGCTCTTTTTTTGTACTACCTACAACAGAGTAAACAATAATGAGGGAAGGACTTAACCTTAGATTTCAGAGTTTGTTTATCATGCTAACGTTAAATGTTTGTTTTTTGGGACTTGTTGTGAATACATTTGTTAAAACGGCCTTTGTTGCCCCTTTTCAGCGCAAATTGTCTCTGAAGGAAAGTTCTCCAGATAACGTATATGCAGTGTGGATCTTACAGGTTTGAGAACTTCTTATTTATGTTGTCGTTTCTATGAAGGTAGATTTGTGTCTTTATTATTCAATCAAAAAAAATGTTGCTTCAATCAAAAAAAATATTTTCAATTAAAAAAACCTTCACTTCAATGAAAAAAAAACTTTTCAATCAAAGAAAAAAAGTATTTGAGTCCAAAAATATATTTGAGACTCAAAAAAATACATTTGAACACTGCTTTTCTTTGATTGAAAATGTTTTCTTTGATAGAAGTCTGTTTTTTTTTGTTTAAAGCAACCTTTTTAATTAAAGTAACATTGTTTTTTGATTGGACCATATAATGGGTAGGACATTTGTGTCTTTATCATTCAATCAAAAAAGAAGTTGCTTCAAACAAACAAACAACAGAATCAATACAAAAGTCACTTCAATGAAAAGATAAACATTTTCAAATATAGAAAATCATTTTTGAATGCAAATAAAATATTTGAGACTCCAAAAATTGCATTTGAACACCTTTTGTTTTAATTGAAAATGTTCTCTTTGATTGAAGTAATCTTTTTTGTGTTTGGGCCATACATGGGTAGGACATTTGTGTCTTAATCATTTAATTCCAAAAAAGTTGTTTTCAATCAAAGAAAAAACTGTTCAAAAGCAAAAAAAAAAATATATATATATATTTACGTCGTGAATAAAAAAAGTATTGAAGAGAATGTGTTTTTTTCGTTGTTTTCGTTTTTTATTTGAAGTGAAAAAAAATAGAAGTTCAAATTGTTTTGATTGAATAATTAATTTTTTTTGAAGTGCAAAAAGTTTTGAAGTTCAATTTTTTTTGATTGAATCATTTTGACACAAACGTTCCGCAGTGGGCGGGTGCTTCTCTGTTGGTCAGACATGTTTGATTGACAAGTGTCTACACCAACGACATCTTTCTGACAAAGAAGTCATGTTCGCCACTCGCCAGCAAGTTTTTATCCTTACAGGATATTATCTATTTATCATTTGATCTTGTGGCTCTGCATCGCGCCAGCCACACCAGCCACACGATCTCTCACTGTTTACTATCAGAAACTCCGATTAATACACGAGAGCACACAGACAGTGTTATCCTGCTCTTGTGTACGGGCGTCAGTTTGGTTTGGTTTGAAATGTGCTGGGGGACGGAGAGACGTATTCGGAAGAGCATTTTCAAAAGTGCTGGGTACAATGACGCATTCATTTTTTTTTTCTCGGCGCCGCGAGATGTTTCAAAAGTGGTGGGTACAAAATCGACCCTGGCAAAAAGTGGTGGGGACATGCATACATATCTATGGGGATATGTTTCGTGAGCATATGAGCACGTTTCGTGGTGCGCCAGTCACAAGATTTCGCAATATTTCTCATAGTTGCGTGATTCTCCGATTGACATTCTGAAGGAGAATGATTTTGACCACTCCATTAAGTTTGTTTTTTTTAATAAAGCCTTTCTTTAAAGTGAATTTCGTTTTTAATAAATTGCATCTTGATTTTAATCAATGTTTGATCAACCAATTCCCAGGATTTAATAAATAAGAAGCAAAGCAAACATATAGGCATAGCAATAAAATCATGAACTTTTTGCTTTGCACGTTTCTCAAAGACATGATAAATAGGCTACATCTAGAAAGGTAGAAATGTCTAGCCTAATTTTAAACAAAACAATTCAAAACGAAAATAAATAGATTATTCTACTCTCAGATTATATTTAATCCATATGAAATGAGCATTTCTCTCGGCGCGTTCACTACTGCGAAGATGGCTCCAATACGGGCAAAAAGAGCAAATAAAATATAAGAAAAAATTACAAAAAGGTAGATAAGAGATGGATTGGACTTTATTTGCTCTCATCTGAGTGTCTCATGTAAACAGTGAGAGATCTTGTGGCAGGCGCGACGCTAGGTGACGCGCACGCTCCATTATGGACAAAAAGAGCAAATAAAATATAAAATAAGATGACAAAAAAGATACTTAAGAGCAGGATTGCACTGTCTGTTTTCACATGTGCATCAATCGGAGTGTCTGATGGGTGTAAACAGGTTGGTAAGAGATCTTGTGGCTGGTATGGCTGGCGATGCTTAGAGCCACGACCCGTTCGCATAAAAAGAGCGAATAAAATACAAGATCAGACGATAAATGGGTAAATGAGATCTGTATTGCACTATGTGTGCTTTCGTGTAGCTACCATTAGGTGTAAATAGAGAGAGATCGTGTGGCTGGTGTGGCCGGCGCGACGCTTAATAGAGCCATGCCAGCGCACTCCCATACGCATAAAAAGAGCAAATAAAATATAATATAAGATGACAAAAAGGTAAATAAGAGATGGATTGCACGTTATTATACGCGCTCCAATACGGGCAAAAAGAACGAATAAAATATATGATCAGATGATAAATGTGTAAATAAGATCTGTATTGTAGGCTATACTGTATGTGTGCTCTCGTGTAGGCCTACCATTAGGAGTGTCTGATAGGTGTAAACAGTGAGAAATCTTGTGGCTAGGCAGGTGAAAAGCGTTTGGTTAATGGTGAATATTGACCTATTGTGCGTACCGTTCTGTCGGGGAATATGCGCTGCATTTACTGTAAATATTGTGTAAGTTCGAGTGGCAGGCGCTATATAATGCAGTGCATATAAGGCACATATATCCGTGGCCGGTCGAGTAGCAGATCCCCCTGCCACGCAAAGATTTTATCCCCTCTAAAAAAGCTGCTGGCGAGTGGCGAACATGACTTCTTTGTCAGAAAGATGTCGTTGGTGTAGACACTTGTCAATCAAACATGTCTGACCAACAGAGAACCACCCGCCCACTGCGGAACGTTTGTGTCAAAATGATTCAATCAAAAAAAAGTTTGAACTTCAAAACTTTTTGCACTTCAAAAAAAAAAAGGATTCAATCAAAACAATTTGAAATTCTAAATTTTTTTCACTTCAAATAAAAAACAAAAACAACGAAAACACACATTCTCTTCAATACTTTTTTATACACGAGGTAAATAAAATTTTTTTGCTTTTGAAAAGTTTTTTCTTTGATTGAAAATATTTTTTTTTTGATTGAAACAACTTTTTTGGAATTAAATGATTAAGACACAAATGTCCTACCCATGTATGGCCCAAACACAAAAAAGATTACTTCAATCAAAGAGAACATTTTCAATTAAAACAAAAGGTGTTCAAATGCAATTTTTGGAGTCTCAAATATTTTATTTGCATTCAAAAATGATTTTCTATATTTGAAAATGTTTATCTTTTCATTGAAGTGACTTTTGTATTGATTCTGTTGTTTGTTTGTTTGAAGCAACTTCTTTTTTGATTGAATGATAAAGACACAAATGTCCTACCCATTATATGGTCCAATCAAAAAACAATGTTACTTTAATTAAAAAGGTTGCTTTAAACAAAAAAAAACAGACTTCTATCAAAGAAAACATTTTCAATCAAAGAAAAGCAGTGTTCAAATGTATTTTTTTGAGTCTCAAATATATTTTTGGACTCAAATACTTTTTTTCTTTGATTGAAAAGTTTTTTTTTCATTGAAGTGAAGGTTTTTTTAATTGAAAATATTTTTTTTGATTGAAGCAACATTTTTTTTGATTGAATAATAAAGACACAAATCTACCTTCATACGTTTCTACCATTGTTAAAGCTGTTCGATTGATGCTGCGTTACTCTGATTTCAATGTCAATCCTATCTTTCTTACATGTAATTATGAATGTTGTATTATTGTAGGCCTACGTTGTGTTATGTTAATAACTAAATTGGCTCCCCAATCTTACCTTCCCTTCATTTTTTAAATATACAGTATATATACATTATATGTATATACAGTACCATTCATGTGTCTTAGGCTCATCAAGCCATCAAAAATACATTAAATAAAAACAGTAATATTTTGTTTTCTATTTGAATATGCTGTAAAATCTAATTTATTTCTGTAATGGCAAAGCTCAATTTTCAGCATCATTACTCCAGTCTTCATGAAGTGTCACATGATCCTTCAGAAATCATTCTAATATGTTGATTTATTATCAATGTTGGAAACAGTTGTGCTGATTAATATTTCTTTTATAACACTTTGAGGATTCTTTGATGAATAAAAAGTAAATATATCTATAAGAACAGCATTTATTTAAATAGAAATCTTTTGTAATAATATGCACTACCATCATACACTATCCATATTCACTACCATACACTATCAATACTTTTTATTATACAAGGATGTGTTAAATTGATAAGAAGTGATAGTAACAATTTATATTGTTAGAAAAGATTTCTATTTTGAATAAATGCTTTTATTTTTAACTTGGATCCTGAAAAAAGTATCCCAGGTTCCAAAATAATATTAAGCAGCACAAATGTTTCCAACATTGATAATAACTGAGTATCAAATCAATATATGATTTCTGAAGAATCACGTGACAATGAAGACTGGAGTAATGAGACTGAAAATTCAGCTTTGCATCATAGAAATAAGTGACATTTTAAAGTATATTAAATAGGAAACCATTATTTTAAATTTCAATAATTTTTCACAATAACATTTGTTCCCTGTATTTTTTTTATCAAACAAATGCAGGTTTGATGAGCAGAAGAGACTTCCTTCAAAACATTACAGTATGACAAAAAAAATGTCTAGGGTGCTCAAGGAGTTCAAAAAAGTGTATGAAGGTGCTCTAGGGAATTCAATAACATGTAGTAGAAGGAAATCCAAGGCACTCTTAGGAATTGATAAAAAGCCTTTATTTGACTGGCAATTTCATAATAGAAAATTAAAAAAAATAATAATAATAAAAAAACATGGGGGAAAAAAACAACCCACGTTCAGCGAAACAGTCTTCTTCAGGGTAAGAAAATGTTTTTAAAATTATAATAATACAGTAATTTTACACTTTAAAGTGACTTGGGGAGCCCTGGGTCACAGCAGCACAATTTCAGCTGCAATTCATGTTTTGATCACAAGGTGGAAACATGTGACTGACTGAGCAAATCAAAACTACTAACATGTGTGTGAA